CCCTCAATGTATGGGGTTGGCGCCCTACTCACTGAGCCATAGGCGCCGCCCTGTGTCTTTTAATCTCAATGAATCTTCACAACATCCCCTCAAAGGAGACTGTGGAGTCAGACTGCTTGAGTCCAAATCCTGGTTCATCACTTAACTGAATGACCTTGGGCTAGTCACTTTCTCTCTCTGTGCCTCAGTTTCCTCATATTTAATATGGTGACAAGAATATCCAGAAGTAGATATTGGTTTTATGGGGCCTGAAGTTTACACAATTTGAAGGCCCCTCTTTAATAAAAAATAGAAAATCAGGCATGAAACTGAATATTTAGAGTGAGAAAATACATCACCTCAAGTTACAAATTAAAATAAAACAGACAGAAAACACAAAAATTACAAACCCAAGAGATTAATAAAATATTTTTATTAATCAAGTGCCTGACAGTAGTTGCCTGCACGGTCTAGTGACACATTCTTTGGCGGCCTTCTTGTCAATTGATATATTTATTTTTATTTTGAATCAATGACAAACACAGAAAGTGTTTGCGAGTACAGTACAGGGTACATGGAACTTTTGTTTTTTACTTATTGAACAAGGAATACATTTGTGTGTAATGCCTACAAACAAGGACATTCTCTTTTTTTGAAACAGAGTCTTAACCTGTCGCCTTGGGTAGAGTGTGCTGTGGCATCATAGCTTATAGCAACCTCCAACTCTTGGGCTCAAGTAATCCTCTTGCCTCAGTTCAGAGTCTCACTTTATCACCCTTGGTAGAGTGCCATGGCATCACACAGCTCATAGCAACCTCCAACTCCTGGGTATAGGTGATTCTCCTGCCTCAGCCTCCTGAATAGCTGGGACTATAGGCACCCGCCACAACACCTGGCTATTTTTCTGTTGCAGTTTGGCTAGGGCCAGGTTTGAACCCGCCACCCTCGGTATAGTATATGGGGCCAGCACCCTACCTACTGAGCCACAGCCGCTGCCCTGTCACTGTTTTTTAGCTGGCCTAGGCCAAGTTTGAACCCACTAGCCTTGGTGTATGTGGCTGGTGCCCTACCCACTGAGCAACAGGTGCTGCCTGATTGCAAATAATCTTAATCCTTA